TGGGAGACCTGTCTGACCTGCAGAGACGAGGCAACACTGGGGCTGAGTCTGGACCTTCAGTTAGCCTGTGACTGTGCCATACACTCCACTTTACCGCACTAGAACACACAACAGCACTAGAATACACAGCACTAGAATACACTGTGCAATAAAGGCCACTGTCCACTATACAAGAAATACAAGGCACTTTATAATTCACCACACTGCAGTAGCGTACACTGCACTGTACGAGGAATACAGTGCACAGTGTGTGGACTACAGTACACAGTGTGCTGGGAACAGTGTTCAGTGTGTGGAGCACTGTGCACTGTGTGGAGTACAGTGTGTAGAGCACTGTGCACAATGTGTGGAGTACAGTACAGAATGTGTTGGGAACAGTGTTCAGTGTGTTGAGCACTGTGCACTGTGTGTGGAGTACAGTGTGTGGAGTACTGTGCAGTATGTGTGGAGTACAGTACACAATGTGTTGGGAACAGTGTTCAGTGTGTTGAGCACTGTGCACTGTGTGTGGAGTATAGTGTACAGTGTGTGGAGTACAGTGTACAGTGTATGGAGTACAGTACACAGTGTGTTGGGAACAGTGTTCAGTGTGTTGAGCACTGTGCACTGTGTGTGGAGTACAGTGTGTGGAGTACAGTGTACAGTGTGAGGAGTATAGTACACAGTGTGCTGGGAACAGTGTTCAGTGTGTGGAGCACTGTGCACTGTGTGTGGAGTATAGTGTACAGTGTGTGGAGTACAGTACACAGTGTGTGGAGTACAGTACACAGTGTGTTGGGAACAGTGTTCAGTGTGTGGAGCACTGTGCACAATGTGTGGAGTACAGTACAGAATGTGTTGGGAACAGTGTTCAGTGTGTTGAGCACTGTGCACTGTGTGTGGAGTATAGTGTACAGTGTGTGGAGTACAGTACACAGTGTGTGGAGTACAGTGTACAGTGTATGGAGTACAGGACACAGTGTGTTGGGAACAGTGTTCAGTGTGTTGAGCACTGTGCACTGTGTGTGGAGTACAGTGTGTGGAGTACAGTGTACAGTGTGCGGAGCACTGTGCACTGTGTGTGGAGTACAGTGTTCAGTGTGTGGAGCACTGTGCACTGTGTGTGGAGTATAGTGTACAGTGTGTGGAGTACAGTACACAGTGTGTGGAGTACAGTGTACAGTGTATGGAGTATAGTACACAGTGTGTGGAGTACAGTGTACAGTGTGTGGAGTATAGTACACAGTGTGTTGGGAACAGTGTTCAGTGTGTGGAGCACTGTGCACTGTGTGTGGAGTACAGTGTACAGTGTGTGGAGTATAGTACACAGTGTGCTGGGAACAGTG